AGACTAGACCGAGCTCCAGCTAGCTCGGTTCTTCTTTTCACTGCGCGTGTACCTCGGTTGACATATTCCAACTGGGTTGTTTGAAACCGTGCTATCCACAATGAGCTTGGACCGAGCTATCTAACCGCAAGGTCCTAAGCAGAAGCCAACATACTTCGGCCCAATATAGTATGACCGAGCTAACTGTCACCGCGCCGACCGTGGTGACCGAGCTAATCCACCAAGTTCCTTCGGACCGAACTATCTGCAAGGCTCTTCTGGACCGAACTAATTACAATGCCCCTTTTACTCAGCCCTTCTTACCGTGGCCCACAGAGTGGCCCTTTACCCAGCTCGGCCCAATTTATATTTAAATTACCCTCTCAGCTCTCTTATCCATAATAATTTAAAGTTTTAAATAAGTTTAAAAAAACTATAACTTATAATTTAAGAACATCTCAATATTTTTTAAAATAAACCGAATAGATCAAAGAATTATAAATTAAAATATTAACCAAATACCATTAATTAACTTTTGTATATAAATGCTTCGGAGAAGTTGATTTTAAGTACTATTAAAGGAGGCCCTAGATCTGCACCCTTGTAGCTAAAATTGAAAATTCGGGTAATGTGGTTATCATAAGTCTTATTTTGATTGTCTTATTATTAAATTTAAAATTTTAATTTAATATCTTATCTTAAACAGAAATACTCTGAATTTATGTACTAAAACTTAAAAAATAACATAATCAAATTATTCAAATAGTCAAAGTGTTGATATAAATTAATTTGCTGAACCTTGGCAACATGATCCTTGTATGATAGAAACACCAAATAAATGTAAAAAATAAAACAAAATATTTACACATAAATAGATTAATACAATTTAAAATTAATCTATTGTTTACTTATATAAAAAAAAAGGAATTTTGATACTTAAATTTTATTTTATTTTATTTTTAAATATTTTTTTTATAACTTATGTATATGGCTCGATGGACGGACTTGAGAATTATAATTTATTTAGGATTCAAAGTTCCTTAGTAGGGTTCTGATTGAAAAGTTAGTTATTTTAGTTGATTATTTAGCTTTTTGATTATAGCCTGGCTAAAATAGCTGTACTTAGGAAATTAGGTGATTTTTTTTTTTATAATTAATCTAATGAGTGTGAAAAAAAAATAATTACAAATTAAATCATATTTTATTTTATTAATTATTTTAATTTATTTATATTTTTTAATAAGTTATTTTAACCAAACTCCCCTCTTCAATAAGGCCCAACTAATGCCAATCCGCCTCAAACTCAACCTGGCCCAATGACCACCTTTATAATAAACCCAATAAATAATTGTCATATTTGACCTAGTCGCAGTTATAGATTTTGTTGATAACCTTCAATATTTTATTTCAGGAAAGGGGCTCCACCAAACAGCACGTATAAAATGCCCTCCGCCCACTGCAGCAACAACAACATCGACAGCAACAACAACGCCATCACAAACAGATAGTCGTCGTATTTCAATTTGCCCCGATTCTAATCTTTTATCAGAAACAAAAAAAACCAAAAAAATAACTGGTCATCCTTCACTCTTTTCAGCTCCTTCATTCTCCATCTCTCAATCTATTCTACGCTGACCTATCTACAACTACATTACACATCTCTACACTATACTCTATGCAACAACCAATCTCATGAACCATTGAAAGAAATTTAATATTTTCAAGATTTGTGAAACATTGGTGAGAGAGAGAGAGAGAGAGAGAGAGAGAGAGAGAATGGGGAATGGTGCGTCGAGGAATCCGGACAGTAGCGTTCATGGTAGCGCGGAGAGAGATGAAAACCTGGACCAAGCTGGTGGCCAACTCTACGTCTCTCTCAAAATGATGAATTACAAGCTCAATGGCGATCTCATCCCTCACGTCTACGGCTCTGTCCCTCTCGTTGGCTCTTGGGACTCTTCCAAGGCTGTAATTTCACTCTCTCTCTACTACTACTACTACTACTACTCCATTCCTTTCAATTCCCAATCCACATTTTTTTAATGACTCTTCTGAATAATGTTCTAATTCATTAATGATATCATTAGCTTTCAATGGACCGTGAATCAACCTCGATGTGGGAATTGAGCTTCGTCGTCCCCCCTAATCATGGTAATTTAACTCTACATTCTTTGAATTGATTAGGGCAAATTACACCCCTTAGTCCCCACAGTTTAAGCCCTGTTAATATTTTAATTGGAAAAAGAAGATCACGTGCAAAATTAGAAGGACCGAGGTAAAATTTAAAAGAAACTACGGGACCACTGATGTAATGAATAAATTACACAATTTGTCCTATAGTTTATTTTGAATTTCATTTTTAGTTCAAAATATTGTATTAAAAGTAAAAGTTTAGGATTCAAATTGAAACCATGAGGACCATATTGAAACATCTCCAGAACTAGAGAGACCAATGGTGTAATTTACTCAGTTGATTATGATTGTGTTTATATAAATTGACTTTATTTGTTTGAATTTAGAAACATTGGATTTCAAATTCCTTTTGAGGCCAAAGTACAATCATGTGCCGTGCATAGTTGAGGAGGGTCCAAACCGGCTCCTCACTAGGGGGACCTTGCAAGGGGACGCAAGGTCAGCTTTGTTTAGGCTGAATGGCAATGAGGTTCGTGAGTATCTGGTGTTCATTAAAGCCGATAGGGTTTCACCATTTGATCTTGCAGCTAGTTGGAGAGCATATCAAGAGAACTTTCAGCCTTCATCTGTTCGGGGAATTCCTGATGTTAGTATAAATTCGGTGCCAGAGCCGGGTGCTGAGGTAATCTATTAGTGGTACTTTTTATCTTTAAAATACTATATAAAGCTATATGATCCATGCTATAGGACAATATTCATTTTGGTATGACAATATCTGTTTGTTAGTTATTGATACTACACTAGTATGTTCTAGTTATGTCGTGAGTGTGTTTGTGTATATCTGTATATGTTTTAATATTAGCTTGTAGCTTGGGATGGAACAATAAAAGTAGGATGCCAACCTACCTTCTTAATAAGCCTCCGTTTGGGAAGTGGGTTGGTTTTTTGGCTTTTTGGCTATTTTAGCCTGGGGTTAAAAAGCCTGGTTTGGGAAGGGCTTTTTGGCTTTTTCGACTTTTTTTGTGAGAGAGGAGTGTAATGATTATGGGTTGGATTTGATGTTTTGTTTTTTGTGGCTAAAATAGCCTATTTTGTTTTTTATGGCTATTTTAGCCCCTAACCCACCAAAACTAACTTCCCAAACTATGCCTAAGAATGTTATGTTGTCCAAAGCTTCTATACAAATTTAATGAAGAATGACCTTTTTTGGATGTCTTCTACAAGTTGAAAATTAATCCCTTAAAGATAAACAAACAAATTTTGTGCTTTGAAAAGATTTTGGTCATTATTCTTTAATGTATAATGAAGATTTCTCTTGTGGTCAATGGAAGAGTGTAAGACTACAAAATATACACACAGAATTATATCTTTTCAAACAACAAGGACACACATCTTGAAATTCTTGGGAATAAAATATATTCATAATGAACACAAATGTAAGACACAATTTATTTCAAATTTTGATTGGACAAGGTCCTCCTAAGAGGATTCCATGAGAAATTCCAATGCGCCTTGTCTTGTTAATTCACATGGAGTGTAACTGATAAACATTGAAAGAAAGAGGGATTCAGTGCTTTGGTGAAGGCCACTTAATAGGCATGCACTATCCATCTGATATAAGACACCTTGGAGATTCAACATAAAAAGTAAATATCTTTGTGCTGAGGTCGCTAAACACTGGGAATAAAACCAATTGCTCATGCTCTAAGTTGTGTATTTCTACTAGTAATTAATAGTAGAGACTGTGGGTGAAGCTAACTATTGCTAGTTTCTAAACATTTGTTTGATGGACGTAATCTAATTTTTTTTAGTGTAACTCACTTCCCATTTTTTTGCACAGAATGGCCCTTCAGCGAGTCTGGAGCTTGATCTTGAACATTATGTTGTCCCGGCTCCGGCAACATTCTCAAACTCAGGTATGGTTTATGCTGCTAACATGACAGAAAGTCCAAGGTCAATGATCCATGCCGGGGTGCTTTCCAATTCTGAGGGCTCTGGTAATGTTTTGCAATTCTACAAGGATGGTGGTATTTCCATTGATCGAACTGCAACTAAAAAGGTTTACCTTGGTGACCATGTAACATATTTTGTTACCTAGATTTTACTTAGCCTTGAAGAATTTGTAAGCTATATCAACATGGGATGGTAAATTATTAGATCTTATAAATATAATGTTACATATAATCTTCCCAAAGTCCTCTATGCCCCAGTGCAGTTTGATCAGATCAATTTTTTTGGATCTACATTTTAAATTGTAGTGTGTGCAAGGGGTGGACATTAACTGGGGCATACAGGGCTTGCTCTAGATAATAAGAACATATATGGCATCATAAGCATGATCCGGTCCAACATGATATTGGGCCTAATCTAGCTATCCCAAGTCCAGTCCTAAAAAAACTTGTAAATCCCAAATACACCAGCTTCATCCAATATATACGGGCTATTCTAGTTTTTGGTCTTTATATGGGCTTTGAAATGAATTTGGCAGGCTCATGTAGTTGGCTTCTTTTTGTTTTTCTGGCCTTTGGCCTCCAGCTGATAAAAATATTTAAAAAAGTAAATAATTATTTGATTTTGGGCCATTAACAAAATCAAATTGTAAATGAATTTGGACTTTTATACACATGTTAGAAAGAAGCATATATGTTAGAATTGATGTATAGAGAAATAGAGAATTGTATAGATATTGATTGTATTATTGATTGATGTATGTTATATATTACAAATGGTGAGGGGCTCCTTATATAGGAGATGTAGTGGAGTAGGTGGTAGTAGGTGGTAGTGGTAGGTGTGTAGTAGGTGGTAGTAGGTGGTGGTAGGTGTAGTAGGTGATGGTAGATTTTAACAGCCCCCCGCAAACTCAAGGGGGATAGGAACTAACCAACTTGAGTTTGGAGAGAGTAACAAAACAAGAAAATAATCTAAAAAATAAAAAATGGATAGGAGACACTGTATGGTCGTGTCAGACCGTTGTAGAAGACTGTATGGTTATGGCAGACCGATGTAGAAGACACTGGCTCGTGTCGGACCGATGTAGAAGACAGTTTATGGGGTCATGTCGGACCGTTGTAGAAGACAGTTTACGGAGTCTTGCTGGACCCTTGTAGAAACTAACCGGAATCAATGTCGGGACAGTTTACAGAGTCTTGTGGGGTAACCAATCCAAGCCACCGGAATCAATGTCGGGACAGTTTACAGAGTCTTGATACAATTCATAATTCACATCAGAATTTCTCATTTAAAGAAGAAAAAAAATCATGCGGGCTCCAACAATATCATTTATATATTTTTTTAGTTTTCAATGGTTCAAGTTCAACAACATCAAAACCTGACAATAGAAGCGAGAAGAGGTAATCAACTACGACAGCAGCATGAATCAACAGAAGATGGCCAAGATGTTCCATGTGGAACCTACAGGGCCAGTTAAACCAGAAGACTAGTTCTTTTTAAAAAGGGAGTAATTGATGGTGAACTATTTGTTACTTTTATTAATATCATTATTCTTAAGATTACAAAATTAATTTATTCTCACCCAGTCTCTGTCACCTCCTCAATTTATCCCACGGTCAATATAATAATAATAATAATTATTATTATTATTATTTTTTGGTTGGTGGGTAGTGTAGTTGGGATCATTGGTGAACAGCCAAAATAAATTGGGTCTTCCTTTAAATAAAAGGGATGCAGCACAACAAACTCAGGGTTTGTAGACAAGGACGTTTCTATAGTGCAGTGCAGCAAATATTAAGGAACCATTGATCAATTTTAAATTAAGAATTAGATTTTTTATTTTTATTTTTTTATCTTAAATTTGGAGGGCCGCGCAGGACGGAGGCAAAAAGAAGAGACCTGCAGTAGAGTAGAGAAGGGAAAAGAAAAATCCCTCCTGGGGATGTAGTTGTTTTGTTTGTGGTTGTTTGTTTTTTTTTTTTTTTTAATGTGGAAAATTGTCATCGGGTTTGATCCCGGCAAGAAGAAATGACAGATTTGTTTGTTTGTTTGTTTGTTTGTTTTTTTTTGTTTTTGTGTTTGTGTTTGTTGGTAACTCTCTGGTGGGAACGCGATGGAAGTAGATTCCGGAGATGAATAAAACAAGGTTTGGTGTGCAAATCTAGATGGTATGAATGGAATTTGAAAAAGATTAAAAATAATGTGAAAGAAAAATAAAGAAAGAAAAAATAAGTTTTGTGTTATTTTTTTTTTATTTTTTTATTTTTTTGTATAATAAGAATAATAATAATAATAATATATGAATGTAGAAAGCATATGCGCTGGTGGGAGTTGCATAGAAAAGAGATAAAGATAGGTGTGATAAAGAAAAGAATGGGGTAGAATATGATGATGGGAAAAATGATGATGATAAAATATGATGAGGGGGTTAAAATAAAATAAAATAAGATAAAATAAGTCTGTGATGGGCGGTGGGATCAGACAGCTGCTTTATTTGAAAGATAAAATGTAGTGGATGTGAATATTAAAATAAAAAGAGAGGAAAGAGAGGGTTAAAAGTGAGAGAGAGAGAGTCATTGGATGCATGTCTCAATGTGTGCTGTCCGTGTGTATGGTGATGTCCCATGTACCTGTGTGTGTATGGCAGGCTTTGTTGTTGTTTTTTTTTTGTTTTGTGTTGGGTGGGTATCCATAAAGAGAGGAATGAGATCAAGTACCCTCGCAGAAGGTCCACAAGTCCATACTTCATCAGGTATAGCCTTGAAGTTCCAAAAAAGAATAATTACAGTGTGATCTTTCTGACCCAAAATATAAAATTATATAATGATACCCAGATTTGTTTCAGTGTTTCATGGATTTAACTCATGGAAGAATTGATCAAACACAAGGACTAGTAGTGTATACCCTCAAGTTGCATTCAGACAATGCTATAACCCCAGTAGCTTTCCAACGCTCAAACTGGCTCTTTTCAACAGCAGCAACATCATCCCTTTTCCCCTCCTTGCCTCGATTTGCATCGGCCATCCGCCTCAAATTCGATGAAGCCGGTGCTTCCTTCCTAATGGGACCATCCCCTTGGTGTAAACCTTGGGAAGCCATGAGCATGATCTTAGCCCCATCGGTGACCTGGGACGACCTCAAAGTGAGTTCATCCAGCAGAACTTTACCTTTGAAGATGAGCTTCTGACCGCGAGGGAGGACATTGGTGAGGGGTTGGAGTATAGATTTGAGATCTCTGACGCTGGAATCAAGAGAGAGGGACACAGGTATGGATCCTTCGCCGAACTTTATGTTCACCTTCACAACTGCCTCCTCCATTCGCCCCTCTCCCTCCTTTCTCTCTCTCTTTATGTCCGCCATCTGATCGATGTCGGTGAGGCCGGAGTGTACGGCGGCGATGGACTTTCCGGCGAACTTCGTGTCCATCTTCGTTTGTGGTGAGCGAGTGTGTGCGCACTGCAATAATTAATCTGTGGAAGTAAGAGAGCTTAATCGCTGGGTCTTTTTGCAGGTCCGGCGGGCGGTCAAGGCGAGGCTGCCGCCCGCCGGTAAAACGAAATTATGAGATTCTTAACCTTGCTCTGATACCATGTTAGAATTGATGTATAGAGAAATAGAGAATTGTATAGATATTGATTGTATTATTGATTGATGTATGTTATATATTACAAATGGTGAGGGGCTCCTTATATAGGAGATGTAGTGGAGTAGGTGGTAGTGGTAGGTGCGTAGTAGGTGGTGGTAGGTGGAGTAGGTGATGGTAGATTTTAACAATATATATATATTATAGTTTATTGTGTAGAAAAATAATGTAAAATTAAATTTAATATTTTATAGATGGCTGAGTTGGGCTACAACTCCTCATCCCCAGTCCAGTCCAAAAAAAAAAAAAAGATCCTAGCCTAGCCTAGCCTTATTGGCCAAAATATATATCAAGCCCTAAAAAGATCTGGCTGGGCGCTAGGCGGGCCAGACAAGCCACCTGGTCCAATGGCCCCAATGCAATTGCAATGCACTTTATAGTATAAAGGGACCTGCTTATGCACTTCAGCTGCAGTTAATATTTCATTTTAGATACAACATACAAGTAGCTTATTCTATATGCCTATATATCAATACAAACTCTGTGGACCTAGTCACGACTCACGTGGAGCATTAATTAATGTAATAGCTGTTCAATTTGCTATGCACACATGGAAGTAAGGTGTGTCATTTGATGTCTGGATTGCATGCGTGGTTTGATATTCTGTCAGCACTTCGTTTGCTAATTTGCACCTTTGTCTCTGTTGTAATTGTGAAATATTTTCTGTGCATATCTCCTAGTTATGGGATTATTTTAAACTTTTAGATCTAAATATAAATATGCTAACATTATGCAGGAGATGGAGGTCATGGTACCAGATCCATTTAAGTTCTATTCAGGTTCTGGCATGGTTGAATCAAAGTCGGTAGGAACATTTTCATCTTTGCAAAAGCAAGATAGTCACAGGGGACTCTTTGTGGATAGGGGTGTTGGATCTCCTAGGCTAGTTAAATCGGCCAGTGCAATGCCTTTCACTTTTGATCTTAAATTAGATACAGAAACGAAGGTTTGCATGAACATATTCCTTTCCCTTTGATTTGATAAGGATTGTGCTAGTAAGATTTTTTCCCCCTTTCTCATCTTTAGTGGTTTCAGACCTGATTCTTATGTTTTTATTTTTCTCCACGTCAATTGTCAGAATGCGATGCCAGCAGCTGCTGGAGCTGTTGCAGCTGCAGCAGTAGCTGATCAAATGCTTGGACCAAAGGAGGATAGACATCTGGCTATTGTCCTGGTATTTTCCTGTTTAGTTCAATGGTCCTTTTTCCCTTTTCTCAAATTACTTGAATGCATAGTGTGTCCGAAGACTGGATTTTATAATTCTGTCAGTTGGGTTTTAAAATTTTGTATTTTTGTGGTTGAGAGTGAAGGGTTCTAACAAGTTCCTTGTATGCTAGGTTGGCTTGCCAGCTCGAGGGAAGACTTTTACTGCTGCTAAACTTACAAGATATCTTCGCTGGTTGGGTCATGACACCAAACACTTCAACGTTGGGAAGGTGATTTATGCTCTTTCTCTGATTTCTCTTCACACTTTCTGTAGTTCTTATCACGCAAACAAGATGGATATAACTTATTTTTTGGTTGTGACAGTATCGACGCCTCAAGCATGGAGCTAACCAGGTATGATAAAGTTGGCTACCCTTGATATTCTTGTAGATTTTGTAGATTCTTTGGACTTAGAAGAATCTTTAGGCCTTTTTTTTTTGATAACTCGATATCTGGTCCATTGGACCCACTAATCTGGTGGACCAAACCCACCATTCACTTGCGGGGGTCCTAATTAAAGCTGAGGCAAAGCCTTGTATGGACTAGGTGTAAGTGTATATATCTTCCATACATAATGACATGCAGGTAATACGCTACAAATAGATAAACTCATATCCTACCATAGCAATTGAATTTCTTCCCCATGGCCAAAATCATGTCATAAACTATAGAAGGATGTGGTGATTTTCTTTTTATATGATACTGCCGCTTGATAAGTGATGAATATTGCTAACATGGATGCTTCATGCATTGCTTTTTTTCAATTCAAAGTTGGGGTTGGGTGTTGGAGATCCTCTGGAACCTTGTGGGCATACTATTGGAACTTCTCCGTTTTCTTTCTTGGGGTTGGGTTTGGGCTATGGAAGTAGGGCTGCAAATGAACCGAATTGTTCATAAACAGCTCGAGCTCGGCTTGTTTAAAACTCATTTGAGCTCAGTTCATTTACTAAATAAACAAGCTTGAGCTCTATTTTTAGGCTCGTTTATTATTCGAGCTGAGCCGAGCTTGAGTAGCCCCAAGCTCGGCTCAATAAGGCTCGTTAACATAAAGAAAATAAATTAATATTTATTTTTAATAATATATTAAACGATTTTTCATTAATTTATTTTAATTTTCTATCTGTATTTGGCTTTTGTGCTTTGTGTAAATTTCTCTGTTATCAGAATCTTACGATTCGCGATTCGATACGCAATTTTTGCAAAATCGATACGAATCTAGGAGTGAATCTATTTTGGAAGTGAATCTCTAGTGAATCGCACGATTCACAATCGATTCCCGATTCGATTCACTTTTTACGATTCAAGCAATTTTTGAAATTATTGTGTTCGACATATTTTCGACTCATTTTTTTCATCTTTTTAGTGAAAATGACATAATACAACTTCTAATAGTATTTAATACCAAAATAACCAACATATATATATGATTTGTTATTATTTTAGTGATCATGGAGTTTTTTATAGAATCCAATCAGATCCAGTCAGACCTAACATATTTTTAACCTTTCTTCTCATTTTTGTCCCATTCAAAAAATTGTAATATATCTTCTAAAGATGTTTAAGATTAGAGTTACATTATGAATTATCTATTACTATTTTATTAAATTGAATACTACATGTGTGAGGTCAGTTGTACCTGTTAAAATATTTTAGGCTTTAAAATAAAATATTCTAAATAATTCTTTCTTATTACTTGCTCACTCTTACTTAGAAAAGTATATATGCTTATTGTCCAAATATCAATATCGTTGTTAACTATTGTTATTTTAGAAATTAATAGTTTCTATTTGGTTATTACCTTTATTAAGAATGGTTGATAAAAAAATCTAAAAAGAAAAAGAAAAAGAAAAAGAAAAGGTAAGATGATGATTTTACATAGAAACCTTTGTTAACTTCTTACCTATTAAATTATGTGATTATCATTCAAAATAACAGTTTTGTTGATTTAAGTCTAAATATTTTATATTCATAAGATACATTTAATATTTAAATGTGTAGATATATGTTTTTAAGTGATTTAGAAAAAGTGACCGAATCTTTACGATTCACGATTCGATTCGATTCGATTTGCGATTCGGTACGAGACCATTTCGATTCACGATACGAATCCTGATTTGACAACTATGGTAAATTTACATATTTGATTGATGAAATTTATTATTAATACAAGTATTCTTGTATATTTTGCGTACAATTTTCTATTTTTTGTCTTAATAAGTAAATTAAATTAAGTTTAATTTTTTTTCGAGCTCAAGATCGCTTGTTTATGTAATCGAGTTGCCTTGAGCTGAGCTCGACTAATTCTTAGTAAACAAGCTTGAACACTCAAAAGCTCAGCTCAACTTGGCTTGGCTTGGCTCAGCTCCTTTGCAGCCCTAACTGGAAGTTATTGAACTAGGCTACACAACTACACAACTTACTTGGGTTGATTTTGTATCATTTTCTTTTCCTAACGAGTCTTGATGGATCACACATCTCTACATGCAGTCTGCTGATTTTTTCCGAGGTGACAATCCAGAAGGCATGGAGGCACGCAACGAGGTGAAATGTCCACTAAAGATACTTGTTTTGGGTTGTCTAAATAGGGTTATTCTTCTGCTGGGTCTACATCTAGGTTTCCTTTTTAATTTTTATTTGTTGGAACCATCTTTTTATTGTGCCAATATGTAATATGTCCAAGTGAGTTTCATTTTCTTGTCATCCCTCCAATTTAAATTTACTTTTAATATTGGGTAAATCACATTGACTTCCCCTAAGTAATGAAGAAATTACAACAAATTCAAATTTAATATAATTAGACTGGCCTCCCCTATATTTTGTGAATACATTACAATTACACTCATATGGTTACTTTATTATTACTCATATAATGGATTTGATCTGATATGAGTAAAAATTGTAGTGAACTTCCTATTTCGCCCTTAATAACTAAACAAGGTTATATATATATATATTATTCCATAAATGATGCGTCGTTTGCTTTTGAATTTGCATCTTCATTTGAACAAGAATGCATTTCACATTAACATTCTTCTGGGTTTCTTTTTGTCTAAATTTATTTACAATTTGGATGACTCCAATTCTCCAACGACAAACCCATTTTTGTTTACAAGTTCTGAGCTCAACATTCCCATTGATCTTGACTTTCTCAGTCAAACCAATAGTTGATTACCACCAAAGTTTGAATCCAATTCCCCAAATTTCATCTCAAGAACTAACCAACAAATAAATTCACACACTGCATTAGGTTGATCCAAATTGGCAACAAGTTTGCTTACATCCCTTAAGCAATCCACAACCTCTGACATGGATGCCACAATTGAACAAGATGCTGCCAGTCCACTATTGATGGCGTAATCGGATGCCCTAGCCAGCGGTGCCGCCCAGATAGCTCGGGCCTTCCAGTATGCAAAAGGATGGGTGCAACTGAGATTAGATGGTAGATTCAGGGTGATGGTGGTTGGGTTTTGGTGAGTGTTTGGGCCATTTTGTGTATTGTTGATGAGAGAGAGAGAGAGAGAGAGAGAGGGACAAGGAAGGCTATATGGTGGTGGTGAAGGCTAGTGTTCTAGATGATGTTGTGAGGTAGAGAGGAGAGGTGAGGTCTGTCTTGGTGGGGATTGGTGGTTGAGGCTTAGGGGATTTAGAGAGAGAGGGGAGATGATATGTTGAAGTGAGGGTTTTTTATTTTTATTTTTACATTAATATTAACTTGTTATCTGTTTAAAATACAAAATATCTAAGGCTAAATTGGTAAGTTTGCTTATTCCATAAACTCGTTAACATGTAGGGTGGATTACTGTAATTATGTTAACCTTGTGGAGCGCATTGTATTTTACCCAAATCTCAAGGGAGACCAGTGTAATTTACCATTCAATATTTTAATCATTCAAAGCATTCAATATGTTTATTTGATCCACGACAAAAGCAGAAGAGTAATCTGTTTTTCTTGGATGATTATATTACGTTTTGATATATACAATGTATTAACCTTTTTCTTTGCACATAGTTTTAATACATCGCGTGCTAGTAGGTAGCAGCCCTGGCAATGGATGATATGATAGCTTGGATGCAAGAAGGTGGCCAGGTAAGTTCTTCAGCATTATAGACTGTGGCACCGCAGTTATATCCTTTTTTATTGATTGTTCTTATTCAAATGTAGGTGGGAATATTTGATGCCACAAACAGTATGAAGGAACGAAGGAATATGCTCATGAAAATGGCTGAAGGAAAATGCAAGGTATATACTATATGCTAACGGCATTAGCAGCATGACAGAATTTCCTGAGGATGATATGTATGTGAGGAGCATCATATGTTCTGCATAGTAGACCAAGAAGATCCGTCATTTCTTGAGTTATTCTTTGTGAAATATTTCATTTATGTACTTAACATCATGACTCAACTATATTTCATAGTAAATATGTGAACAACCTAAACAAGTGTGTTTGGGCATGTTGTAGATTATTTTTTTGGAGACAATATGCAATGATGAGCGCATTATTGAGAGAAATATACGTCTTAAAATTCAACAAAGCCCAGACTATGCTGAAGAGTATGGCTTCTTATTAAAATGATCGAGTTCTTAGTTGAGTCTACATTTCTATACTCGGTAAATTGTGCTTCCCTACAGGCCAGATTTTGAGGCTGGATATCAAGATTTCAAAAAGCGACTAGACAATTATGAAAAAGTAGTTTTCTGAACTAATTCTTCGGATTATTCTTCCTAAAATTTAGCATTGAAGTCTGGTGTATATCGCTCTTTAAGATAAAAATTTTTAACACATGTTACAGGTTTATGAGCCAGTAGAGGAAGGATCCTACATCAAAATGATTGATATGGTCAGCGGCCAAGGTGGACAAATACAAGTATGGTTGGCTCATTTTTTATTGTTCTTGAACTTTTTTGTCTTCTCTGCATACATCTGAGTGGTTGATTTATATTTCCTAAAGGATATAAAATGCTGTCTTCTGTTTCTGTACAATATCAGGATAGTTGAAAAAATACCATTAATTGGACATGTGTCCACAAACTTGAGCTGGTCATGATGGATGGATATGTCAATTTTAAGAAATATAGAACGTTTTGAAATTGCGGAGATTTAATTTATAAATGTTGAATGTATGCTTGAATATATTATTCTTTCTTACATTTTTTCAGAAAATTATATGTGATTTGAGGACCACTTTTGGAAACATCATAATAGAGGAATACTAGGCAAGTTAGGTTGGGTGGGTGGATGAGTGACTTCTTGAAGTTTGAGTCAGTGTTTGGTTGAGGGTGAAACTCAGTGTAGAGGTTCATTCAGCAAACTGAGTGGTGACCGGTGGTTTTTCAATCTCCCTTAAAGGTTCCTTAAAAAAAGCTGAAAGTGCAAATCTTGCGATACTGCCATTAATTATCAGCAATGAATTTTGATACTTGAAGGACAATCTCTATATCTTCTCCTGGTCTTATGAAACTCAAATTGAATTGTTCAACAGATAATGGATGGGAACATGTGGTTCAGTTTGCCAATCCTGGTAGCCTACATCATATTGTTATTAGTTTCTGTTAAAATGTATGTATTATTGATTGATGTTTTGATTTCTATTACAATGATTCATGATTCCTATATATAGAAGAGGGTGAGTGTGTAGTAGGTGAAGAGTAGGTGAAGTGGAGGTGGTAGTGGTGTAGTGGGTTAGGTTTAGTGGAGTAGGTTTAACAGTCCCCCTCAAACTCAAGGAGGTTAGACACATCAAATTGAATTGTTCAACAGATAATAAATGGGAACATGTGGTTCAGTTTGCCAATCCTGGTAGCCTACATCATATTGCTATTAGTTTCCATTTAGTGTTAATGGTTTACAAGTTGGGTAATATGGCATCATCGGAAAATTACTGTGGATGTTTGTACATTTTTCACTGTTGTATGGTTGTGTTTGGGTAGAGTAGATTGTTCCTTCTTACATGCAATTTTTGGTCAAATTAGCTATATGGTACTTGATGAGGCGACTGCCCGGAGACTACAAAAGTATTTCTAGTTGCTGTTTTTATTTTTTACTTATTAATTGTTGAGCATGATGTATTTCGGAAGTAATTTTTGTCTGCATGCTTAATAATTCTTTCTGAATTGGCACAACCAGAGCTTCTTGAATTTCTTTAAATTCTATGAAATACTTCACGCTGTTGTATATTTGTTTTAACTGAATTTTTTTTTCTCTAGATGTTTCTGCATCTTTTTATACTCCTAATTTAGATATCATTACCATCCATAGGTTTATAGATAGAGGTCTGATCTTTCAGAAAGTTTTCTTTTCCAGGTAAACAATATCAGTGGCTATCTTCCTGGAAGGATTGTCTTTTTCTTGGTATGCTGTCTTGTGTTTCATTGGATATTATCTACTCAGGTTGACACAAGGCTTTTGGGTTTAGTGCAGCTTCTTTCCTCCCATTTAGTTTTTGGCATTGCTATTCTCGTCAATAATGCAGGCAGGCAGTATATATTAGCTAATTGATATGATCTTATGGTTCATAAAAAACAACGCCCAATTAGTACACATTAATGTATGTTTGGGAGGGCAAAGATTGGGTACGCACCTAACCTTTGTTTATGATCTTATGTTTCATAAACCTTGAAAAAATCCCAGCCAGCTTAATAATATATCAGGTGAAAGCAGGATTCCTTCTTTTACTTCAGTTCTTTCATTAGGCAACTGTGATGAAGCAAACATAGTATTGACTAATGATTGCTATAATGAGAGAAAATGATTCTTATTTATGCATTCTACATTGCCAAGCTCATTGGCCTTTAAGGTATTGTGGTAATATAAAAATTCTAATCCTACTACCATTCTCATGGAAACCTTGCATGTTAGGATTGTTGACTAGTATAAGAAATCCTTAAAACATAAGTTGATCTTGGTAAGTGTGTCTACATGGAGTATCTGCAAGCGGATTGTTGTGAGGATATGGCTCTTGAAGGCTCATACTCGATAAACCCCTCAACCCAAGAAGCCCACAAATGCCAAAAATGACACTTTACCACTAGCTCACACCGTGTCTACAATGTTTAATATACCTTGGTCTCTATAGGAATATTGTATGGAAAATGCATGTTAATGATATGGTTGAAGTACTCTTTTGATTTTCATAAATACAAGGGCATTCTATGAATGATACAGCTACAAATTCTAATAATATATGTTCTTCTTACATAGTTCTCTAGAGATGACTTAACAAAGTTTAAGGTTTCTTATTTAGCTGACTTTTGTCGATACATCAAGATGGCACTTCAAGGGACAAAGATAACTTCCGTTAATAAATGATTTGATTATCATCTAATTATTTAATAGAGAACACCAAGTTTCATAAATGTCTTGCAGGTGAATACGCATCTGACACCCCGTCCAATTTTACTCACTAGGCATGGAGAAAGTCGCTATAATGTTAGAGGAAGGATTGGGGGTGACTCTCGTTTAAGGTCTGTTATATTATTTCCTTGTCTTTCAAAATTTGTTTAAGTGCTATTTAAAAATCCACACATTTTCTCCCTTGAAATGTTACACATGCTTCCAAAAATTGTTTACTGGTTCTTGGATCTAAAATTTTGAGTGACAGGGTTCTAAGGGTGGTGGTAGAACACATCAGATAGCATGTCAGTCTAGAGAAATGAGCTGGATTGCGTGATAGCGGAGGTAGTCTCTAGTTCAGAGAGAGAATGGACGTTGAGAGAAAAAGTAAAATGGGAAATTCAAAGAACATCAGCATTTTCCCTTTGAAAAACTGCTGCCTTGTAAAGAAGGGTCAGGGGCCTCTATTTATAGGCATATGGCGTAGCCAGGTGGTGGTCTGTGTGCAATTCAAAGAGACTACTCCCATATGGGGGAGCATGATGTGAGGCCCTTGGACCAAATGATTGTAGAAAGATCTAGAAATCTCTCTCTCTCTCTCTCTCTCTCTCTCTCTCTCACACACACACACACACACACACACTGACACACACATACTGGCCAAGGCACAGGATCGGCATGGAATGAAATCACACTCACACACACACACACACACACACACACACACACACACACACATACTGGCCAAGGCACAGGATCGGCATGGAATGAAGGGCCTCACTGAACCCTCAACTCTTGCCATTGGGCCACATAACTCGAGGAATCCTATGGTAGTTATGAGATAGTGAGCTTTTGGCAGTGTAAAATGTATACCTACAAATGACTGGGCATGATGGTTTTGTACTGCTGTTCAGCAAACAAATCTACAAGGAGAGGCAAGCCAAATATTTATTTTACCAACTAACCAAAGTTGAAAGGAAAAGGAGAGAGAGAAAGAACATAAAAGCTTTTCTGTTTTTTTAAGGTATAGTTGCTTACCAAGATTGAGTTTGGCAACTGGAGATAGGAAATGGATTACAGCATTTCAGCTTACACATCTCCTTGTGATTATACATTTGGAGATATCATGACGTTTTACAGAAGTGCACCTTACATGATCAACTATTGGAAATGGTAGAAAATTTTATCCTGCTTTGTGAAGTTTTCTGATGCTTTTGTTATTTGATTTTCCAAGTAAGAAAAAGAAAAATTAAAAATGGAAGTGAAATAATCATCTAACTTTAGACTGTAAGGGGTTGCATGAATGAATGCCTGATATGATAATTAGGGACACAGGTCTAGGAAAGTGGAAACCTTTGGTGATATACGAGGATTGAGCATGAAGGCCAGTTAAGTTGAATGGTAATAGGACAATTATTGTAGGCACTTAAGCTAGGAAGCACAAACATTTCATAATGGGTGTTATGTCCGTGTCTGACATGTATTGGAGATCGACATGTTGGGGATGTGCGCGTTCATGAGTCGGACATGGCCACGTTGTGTGTCAATTTTTTGAATATTATTTTTTTGCAGGACACTTTGGGGACACTTCATGGATACACGTGTGTTTGGACATGTCTCAAGAAACCTTTGTGAGCCTTTTTTTGTTAAAATAAATTTTGAAAGCTGATTTGGGATCAAAGTAAAATATATGAAAGCTTCTCATGTCTTTGTGCCCTAATTATATACATAGAAAATAAAAATATATTATTTTTTGCTGTATTCACACCGTCTCCGTATCTTAGTTTATTTCAAAATCCTTGTGTCCCATGTCTGTGATTCTTAGCACTTAAGTTAGTAGTTCATGTTTAACCAACAGGCTTATCCAAATATCAATGCTCATAATCTATTAGAAAATTTTTAGAGTTGCGCTTAATATGACATGCACATATATTCTACTTAAAATGAGGCTAATTTTGAACCAGAAGCTAGATTTGATGCTTTGCTCACCTATTGTTTCAAGTGAATATCATGTACAAACAAATATTTCATTGTCTTGACATGTGCTGATGTCTTCTTTTGTTGGCTCCTTCATTGAATTTACTCTATTTTCTATCACATCATTTGTAAGTTGTAATAATGTTCATTTTGTTATCTATATCTAGTATATTTATCCTTTCCAAGATGTTAGAATGTTCTTTTAGTTGTCTATATCCACAATATGTATCTTCTACTAATATTTGCTCAGCATGACATCATCTGCTCATATTTTAGACATAGGCTTGTTTTCTGTTATACGAAAGATATGGGGTATGTTTGGTTTGAGTTTTAGAGATGAGTTGTAGAAAAAAATTTCCAAAAAATTGTTTGGTTTGAGATTTTTCTCAAAAAATTTTCAAAATCACTCTCTCTCTCTTACACATCAATCAATCACTTTTTCTCTCCTCTCTCCTTCACAATCACTTTTTCTCTCACACACATCTACTCAATTACAACAAAATATCAAATCATCACAAAGTCCAAAACTACTTTCAAAATATACAATCAAACAAACCAAAAAAATTTCTAAAACAACTCTCTCAAAAACAAACCAAACAAGCCCATGTTCTTTATCATTTTGTTCAACTAATGTTTGACTTCTAACTTCAACATAATCTTTGCTTCTTCTACAAAAGTTGGTTTGATCCGATAACTTCTTTGAACAGTGATACTGGAGAGGTTTATGCAAAGAAACTTGCCAACTTTGTGGAAAAGCGACTGAAAAATGAACGAGCTGCTTCTGTAAGCTTTGCCAACAGACATGATTTAGTTTATGATGTGCAAATTTTAAGTATATGTATTTTTCTAGTTGGTGGCAATACTTGTGTGAAATTGATCCTTATGCATCTTTAATTAAAATTCAAAATGTCCACGTAGCTTCTACTCTTTTTGCAGACAAGAAAACCTGCTTCCTGTGTCCTCTTTATTTTGTGATCTCGATTAGAAACTTTAGGGGTATTGTCATAGTTTTCTATAACCTTTTATCCTCAGCCATGAGGCTGATATAAAGAAGATGGGATTGCTGATCATTAGTTGGACTCAATCACATCCTCATTTGTGTAGTATCTGACAAATCATGACAATTTAGTCTCTTGAAGCTTTGATGTGACTTGGGTCTGCCGCTCCTGTAATAAAAAATCCAAGAAAATAAAAAAAAGGATCTTGAAAACAATCAAATCAAATAAACCGGGGCCTGTTTTGTGTTTCCTGTGTGAGCTGGGATTGATTAGTATTCAAGAACAAAGTCTTAGAGTTCGCCAATTAACCTTTTTAAGGTAGGAAAATCAGCGAACTTAATCTGGCTTTAGGCTTTATAGGTTTAATATTCATAAAATTAAAGAGACGGAAGAAGAAGAAGAAGAATCTTCCATTCACTCCAAGGTATAATGCATCACTGCTCTGGTTGAATTGCATCACGCAATCCTTAAAGATCATAATTGCTTGGAAATTCATTTATAAAAAAAAATAAAAATAAATAATAATTACTGGGAAATTCTCTAAAACTTAGCCTCAACTGATTTAGAAGGATTAAATAGTTTTATATAGACTTTAGGAAAAACTCATACTCCAACTAGGAGTATGACTCCACAATTAGAAATTTAAAAACTTTTGACTTGAAATAAGGATTCAGTAACATAACTTGACCTGAAATATGACTCGTGGACCCTGCAGATTGTCATTAACAGATTTTTGGAATTACAAAAGTACCCTTAATGCTAAAATTAAAGATAACATAACAAGAATGTACAAACATTGTATAAACTCAATGCAATGTAAACCTTGATTTCAAGATGTCTATGGAGTCCTGTCTTGAATATAAATTAGTTTCTAAGCTTTCTCTTTTCTTTAAATTAGCTTTACTTCGAACTGCTTATGTACTGCTTCACAAACGTTAGATGCTGTGATGGCATTTCGGTTCAGTTTAATCACATTATGGCGGAAAAGAAACCTTTGTATATGGCATGCCAATTTTCCTCCCATTCTAAACCAAAGATTATTTGTCTATCCTTTGTATACACTAGGGATGAATCCAGATTTTATTTCTGAACTAAATGGGATAAAAAAGAAAAAAGAAAAAAGAAAAAAGAAGCAGTTCTATGATTTCACCAATATAGAAGGAGAAAGGCATTATTCAGTTGCAGCTGCAAAACCAAGAAGTAGATGCATTCTGCGATTCATGCATGTATCATCTTGTATTAAATCTTCTCATGTTATTTTTTTCTCATGACATTACTTTGAGGTGCATAAAATGCATATGAATAAAACATGTAATACTTATGTGGCTTACAGCTAGCAGTAGTACTTGAATCCTTTAAAAAAACTCCACATCAGATTTTTTGAAGCAATTGCTTAGTTTTGTTCTCAGAAATCAACTTTTTCTTAGTTACCATGTTAAGAGTATACAAATGAATAATCACTTTAAATGCTTTGAATTTCTGCATAGATGTTATGAGTAAAATTCCAGAAATTCTGATAGACATTGTGTGATTTTTCCTGTGGCCTAGATATGGACCAGCACATTGCAAAGAACAATTCTGACTGCCAGTTCAATTGTTGGATTCCCAAAGGTTGGAATCCAGAAAATTTTAATTTTTTATTTCACTTCGGCATAACTTTTGAATGACTCGATGAACCTAGGAATTAGTTGTATCAAGCTTAGGGTTTCTTCAATTCTTCTGATTTTGCAGATACAATGGCGTGCGCTTGATGAGATAAATTCTGGAGTATGTGATGGAATGACATACGAAGAAATAAAAAAGAACATGCCTGAGGAATATGAGTACGTTGTGATTCTCATTGCTTTGTCTGAACTGAATAGTGTGATTCTCTTACTATTTGCATATGCATATGATTAGGTAAATGTAAAAGGCAGAATATAAATACTTCTGGGTATGGCTTATAAGCTGACTTTTTTGCTTATTACGAAAAGATGTGCAGAAAAGTAGAGATGATGTAGCCCAAGAAAGCCAATAAGCTGGCTTTTTTAGGTCATCCCAAAAGATTGGAAGATAGTAGGGAGCTTATTTGTGTTTGCTTGTCCTATTAAGTAGGATAATTAGGGTGTAATCAAGATAGAAAATTGGCTTGGGTGAAAACATAGAATAATATTGAAAATTTCAGTTTCTCATTGTCTTCCTCTTGCCTTCGTTTTGCTGTGAAAGATATCAGTAGATAGTATTGAAGCAGCAACAAATATTTGAATGTTTAAAAAAAAACCCCCAAATATTTGAATATGTCCATCTCCTAGTTCTTTGATTTTTGGAGGTGAACCTGTTGAACACTGGGCATCTGAACGCTTGGCACTTGTCTGTCATGCATACCAATGTAACATTGACTATGCACAAACTTAAAATTGTTAATCAGGTGATATTCAGCATTGTTTTTTTAATAAATTAATCATTCGGTGGACACTTTGCACGAAGAATATAAATCTATTGAGTTCATTCCCCTGCCACGGCAAAAAAAATGGACCTGGTAAAAAAATTTTTATTGGCGCCATTAGATTTGGGAAAAGCATGCTACTGGAAAGGAAACCTTGTTTGCTTGAAAATATTTGATATTCAATATTTTTCATGGCCTTTCTGTTCGTATTATGAAATTTAATCCAGGTCACGTAACAAGGACAAGTTGAGGTATCGATATCCTCGTGGAGAATCTTATCTGGATGTCATCCAAAGGTTTGTCTCGAAAGTCTAAACAATTTATAATTTCTTTTATGAAATCAACTTGTTCCTAACTAAATTCTCTGCCTAATTGTAGGCTGGAGCCCGTGATCATTGAGCTTGAACGACAGCGTGCTCCTGTTGTTGTGATATCTCACCAGGTCTTCGATAGTGTGAAATTGCTGTTCTTTTAGTTATATGTGATGTCAAGGTTAAGCAAACTAATTTTTCCCTTCATTTTTAAAATTTTGTAGGCTGTGTTGAGAGCATTATATGCTTATTTTGCTGACAGGCCTTTGCATGAAATTCCTCATATTGAGGTAATTGATTAAAATCTAGAACTGAAGAATTTTTGTGAATATCCAAGATTTATTTCAGTGTTGAGCAAATTACTTCGGAAGATTATGAACTGTTGATTGGCGAATATAACCTATTCTTCAGATTTTAGTTCTGACTAGATTAGGGGTTTCAATTTTCAGATGCCGCTTCACACAATTATAGAGATACAAATGGGAGTAACTGGTGTCCAAGAGAAAAGATACAAACTCATGGATTGAACTTGCTTTACGATTGATTGTAAGTTTGCCAACTCAAACTGGCAAGGCAATTTTTCTCCATTCATTTAATTTTCCTTCATTAGCAAGATGTAACAACATCCGAAACGTGTAACTCCTAATAAGTACAATAATATCAATCCATCGTCTATCTACCTTCAAATAACCTTCATCTTCCTCTACATAGAATTTCTCATTCTTCTTCTTCTTCCCCCACCCCAAAGTAATTATAGATATTTACCTCTCATTATGAAATTATCAAGTGATAAGCTATGTTTTAATGTGTCCCCATATTTCTTACTTCTTCTTCTTCCCCCACCCCCACCCCAAAGTAATTATAGATATTTACCTCTCATTATGAAATTATCAAGTGATAAGCTATGTTTTAATGTGTCCCCATATTTCTTAATTTGTTTTTTGCCCTTTTTTTTTTTAAAGTTTTCAAACATTTAGGTAGCGTTCTGTAACGTTTTATGTTTTTGGTTTATGTTTACAAAAATTTTATAAACTGATTTTTGTTTATTTTTAAAAAAACATAAACTATAAACGCGTTAAAAAAAAAGTTTGTTCAGACCTAAAATATTTATATTTATTTTTTATTATTTATGACAATAGGATCATACACATTATAATTGAAAACAAAAATTAATTAAAAAAATTAGTTGGAAAAAAATTAATTGAAAAAAAATATTAACTGAAAAAAAATTTGTTAATCAAAATTTTAAATTTTTGTTTTAAAACCAATATAAACTCATTTTTTGAGTTTATATTTTTTTCTCAAATTTATAAATTGAGACAATTATTTATAAATTAAAAAATATTATCAAATAAATATTTATGATAATTTTTAAAATTTTTATAAATATAAATTAAAAATTAAAAATTAATTGGTTACCAAAGAGGCTCTTACTAGCAGAGCCTACTCTATTCTAGAGCCCTTTTACAAGGACTTGGCCCTGGTGCATTCTCTATTAGTTTTCCAATGCTTCAGTCATTTTGGCTTATTAGTTTGTGACAGTTCTAGGATATTTTTGTAACTTATATTATGGCCAGTTTGGCATCTTTCAAAAAATCAAAAAAGTCAAAAAGTCACTATCCTATTTAAGTCACATCATCTTATATAAGTCACATCACTTCTCTAACACATCACTTCAAACTCAACCCAAATCCAACCCATATTTCATAAAAAGTCAAAAAGTGCAAGTTTGGCATCCTCCAAAAAATCTAAAAATTCAAAAAGTCACTATCATATTTAAGTCACATCATCTTATTTAAGTCACATCACCTCTCTAACACATCACTTCAAACCCAACTCAAATTCAACCCATATTTCATAAAAAGTCAAAAAGTGCACTTATTTAGTCTTTCCAAACTTGGCCTTAATTTTCCCAAACTTGGCCTATATGCCAAGATGTAGGCTGTTTCAATCCGTGACTATGGGTTGCCAAAATTTAATTAAAAATAAATAAATTGCGACTTCATTTTCTCTGCTAAATGGAGATGGTTTTGTGTTTGCTTCCAAACTAAAGACGCTTGGATTACCTAGTGTGTGTACAGGGTTGTAAATGAGTTAAGCTAAGTTTTAGTATGTTTGGATTTGTTTATTAAGATTTTAATGAGTTGAAACTTAATAAAAACTTAACGAATCGAGTTTATGCCTGTTCACGAGTCTTAACAAGTCAAAAAAATTATAAATTCATACTTGCGTATGAGATTAAAGTTATAATTGAAATTTTAATTATACAATTATATGTTACATACTAAAAAAAAGTCAATATCTTATTAAAATAATAATCTATCATCACTATTATATAAATGTATTATTTATATTTAGCTATTATTTACATTTAGGTTTTTTGAATATATAAATAACATATTTATCTTATTTTTTATATATATATTTTTACATTATTTAATATATAAATAATAAATGTTAAACGAGTCAGCTAATGAGCCGAGCTTACGAGCCGAGTTTTAGTATCTTTGGACTTATTTATTAAAATTTTAATGAGTTAGAGATCGAACTCAAAAAAATAAAAAAATAACGAATCGAGTCTGAACGAGTTCTTACCGAGTCGAGTTTGAATGAGTTTTTACCGAGCTAAGTTTGAGTATGTTCACGAACTATTTTTTTCATTTACAAGTATGTAGGATATGAGATTAAATAAACTTGGGGAATTTCATTAGTATTTGCTGCATTACTTATCTTAATGAAGTATGAAATCGAGGGCAATAATTGGCAGTGTTGTATGATTTTTTTTGTTTACACTGAATCATCTCTGGTATACCTCATGGTTCCTTCAATTAGGAGATTGAGAAATTTGATTAAATTATTGTGAAATCTAGATTATCCTTGCTAGATTACAGATTCAAAACCATAGGCCTTGTTTGGTAATGCTTCTGTTTTCTTTTTGCTATTTTCATTTTTATTTTTTTTGAAACAAAAACTTATTTAGTATATTATTTTTGTTTTCAAAAAAGTGAAATTGATTTCAAAATTTAAAAAAACTTGAAGATGAAAAAAGATTACTTATTTTCAAAATAAAATTTCACTCTCTACTCCCTTCTTGTACCTCCAATCACCACCCACCACCACCATAAGCTACCACTGACCTCTGGCAACCTTTTGGCCCATTGTCGATGAGCTCCAATGAGCTCTCGCGGTTGACTGGTCATTGGATGTGATCTCTGATCACTTTTTGACAATCCTTCGGCTACCATGTAAGCTTTAATAACACTTTGCCTGTTTAATTCTGCTGTTAGCACTCTCACATTAGCCTGTTTTTTTTGGCCGGTCATTGTTTTTTACAACTCACCAAATGCATTTTTATGTTATTTTACATTTTCTATGTTGTCAAAATATTTTTGTGTTCTTTACAAAAAAGACTGAAAAGTTGTTTTTGGCCATGGGCTAGAGATTATTTGGTTAGAATAGTTAATAAAAATAAAATAAAATTAATTAATTAATAAGATAAAATGTCACATTTAATTCATATTTTTTTTCCCTCACAATCATGAAATCAAGAATAAAGCTTTGGACCCCAGTGGGGGTACTGGGGGTCACCTCCCATTGGTCCAAAAAAAAAACAGTTTTTTTTTTTTTTTTGAGTTTTCAGCCAACCCCAGGCCGACACGTGGCACTGGGGGTCATCCCCAGTGGGGGTCTGTAACATTGCTGTGAAATCAATTATATATTTTTTAAAATTATCATTCTAAATAATTTTTTTAATCAGACTAAAATCATTAAAAAAATTAACCAATTAAAATAGTATACTCGTGTACGGGTTATCAAAAGCTTTTAACGCTTATTTGACGTTTTACTTGGGAAAAATAGCAAGCAAATCAGTGGAACAGTATATGAGAGTTGCACAAACACAATTTATATAGGTTTGTTTTGGGAATATGGTAAAAAATAATTTTTTGGCTTTTAACCAAGTTTTTGGCTTTTTTAGACAAATGATTTGGGAAGTTGGTAAAAAGTGACTTTTGACTTTTTTGATTAATATTTGTTTATGATGTCAAATCATAATAAAATGACCAAACTATCCCTATTTGTTTAAAATATTTACAACTTCACCTATGTAACACATTTTGACCCATGAGGGGTAAAATTATAATTTCACCGTTGGCTAAAAACCAACTTCTCAAATGAAAAAAGAGACAAAAAAATTAACTTTTAACTTTTACTACTAACCAAAAAAATTGACTACAAATCATGTTGCCAAAATAGGCCATAATGTAATAATTTTTCTACTATCGTATTGATCTGCAATTTCTCCTTTTTCTTTGACGAGTACGTGTTTTTTGGTTTAGTTTTTGGGAGAAAACATATTAATTTCCGCCAAAAGTACATAATAGTAATAGTGATGGGGTGGGGGGCTCAATCAGCGGGAAGAATGTTGTGTGTTAGCTCCTCCCTCCCCTACACTGAAAAAACCAAAGAAAGAAAGCTTCATAATTTCAAGCAAATATCACCTCACATCAATCAAATCAAAGCTGCTGTTTTTGAGGAGCTGTTTACGTACGACAGTCAATGTAGCTGATATTCGGTCGTCTTGTGGGCCCCCACCCTACGAGTTTTGTTGTTGGGCCTTTTGAGAAGTCAATAATAATACACTTATCAGATTATAATTTATTTTTCTCTCTCACAAAAAATTATTATTTTTTAATCAGTTTTTAATTAAAAAATTGATTATAACTATCTTCTTAAAATAGCCTGTAGTATTAAGGGGGCGTTTGTTTAAATATTTTTGAGCCAATTTATAATTTTAGTTTTGGAAAAGTTATTTTGAATTGTTTGATTAAACTTATTTCAAATAGTTTCGGATTCTAACAACTTGTTTTAATTCAAAAAAAATGATTCTGAGAAGCTGCTCACCCCTTACTTCTGATTATCAAGTTCTAATTTACGGTTATACTTTTAAATTTTTTTATTTTTTAATTTTTTAAAAATATAAAAAGAACAAAATAAACTATAGATTATTATTTTTTTTTTATGAGAAATGTAAATAAGTATTGAATAACAAAAAATAAAAGTTAACTGAAAAAGTTAATTCACAATTTATTTAACAAATATTATTTAGTAATTTAAATCTATAATCTAACAATTACATCAAACAGATTAATAACTTCTGATTAAAATCATAATTTATAATTTGTTAACTTATAATTTATTTTAACAACTATACCAAACGGAGCGTAACTTGTTAGGATAGGAGTAAATAATAAATTAAATTATAATGAAAGAAGCTTAGTGGTTTTATTGATTTGAATTTTAAATTTGTCTTTCTTATTATTTCAAAAGATGGTAAAATGAATTATTGGGTCAATTACTTGAAAATGGACAATCTATAATTTGATGTTTGTATTGTTCTAATATTTGGCTTTTTAATTGTAATATATTTAATCATAAATTTTAAATATTATTCTAAATAAAGATAATTAAAGATATTTCCTTTACAAATGATCTATTTTAAGGACAAAATAGTCATATAACTTAAGTATTTTGTGCTGGTTAATTTGTATGTTGTTTGAAATGTAATAATTTTTTTTTAATGAATAATATTGGAACTTTTTTTATTATAAAGTTTCGTTTGGTTTGATTTTCAGAATCTATTCTCAAATATTTTTTTCTAAGAAACAAAAAAATTAAATTGGTGAAAAAAAATTATAGTTTGA